ACTAGGATACAGTCTGTATTGTGGTATCGTATAATATTTATATATTTTCTTTATTATAATATAGATTGTACACTAATTATGATTTTTTGTCCACAGGTCACATACAAAAAAAAATTACAAAAAACACAAAAAAACCGGCATCGGCCACCAAAAAAATCAAAAAAATACTAACAAAAAACCGGCTTCGGCCACCAAAAAAAAAATTAACAAAAACCCCAAAACCCGGGCACGTAGGGCCCAACCCCCTTGAGCACCAAGTCGCTGAACTGAGCCTGGACTTGAGGCCCAAGTAAGCAATTTTAGTTCGCGGATAAGCCACATTAAGATAAACAGGAATATAGCGGAGATGCGCTGTCCTGAGTTTTTGCATTCGGTTCGGAAACCATGTTGGGGTTCTATTACCCAGGACCTCCACATGAAGAGCACTTGGCTGATTGGTGTGCCTCTATAGCGAATCAGATTGCTATAGGGGGAAAGGGATGGTCCAGAGCATTATAGCACGGTGAGGTGACTTCTGTTTTTTACTCGAGTTAACACACCTTGCTCCAATGAATTGTTACACCCGATCGTACTACCTGGGTGAACATTTCTCATAGGCTGGGTTCAATCAAATTGCTTGCTTGCTTGCTTAATTGTAACCCCCTTACGAAAATTGTTCGATAACTACGTAAATAAGACAGTGTTACCAACTTCGGAGAGTGGGATTATTGTGCCAGGCCATAAAATTATAGTAACTTTGAAAAAAATATTAGATGAGAAATAATAATCGTCAAATTGAATATTATCCCACATTAAATATTGGATAATGGTTATTATTTGTTTTTATAAAACTATCGAAAGTTTAACTTATATCAAAAGATTATTGAAAATATGATTAATTGCTCGGGATTGGTTTAGATAAAGGTGCCTGTAAAAAATGCATTTTAAATGACTATTTGATGGGAATACAGTAAACCAAATTGACCATATTGTGGTTCACGAAAGACACTTCAGCGACGTGATAGACGTACGTGCAAGACGCAGGGTGAACATAGACTCGGACCATTACCTACTACAAACTAAACTAAGAGCTAGAATCTCCAATGCAAAAAAAAGAAAAAGGAGTTAAAGAGGAAGAAGAACCCTGGGATAGCTAAGATATTCGAGGAAGGCTGCGCGGATGTTATAGTTGAAGATATTAACAACTATTGGAGGCAGCGTAGAGCCATATTGGAAGTAGTGGTAACTGAAGTTGTCGGAAAGCAAAAGCGTAAAAAATTAAGGTCAGACTGGTACGATGAGGAATGCGCACAAGCAATGCAAAGAAAAAAACAGGCATATAGAAGACTCCAGGGGCGAAGAACGAGACAAACAGAAGAGTATAGGCAGCTGAGACGAGAAGAAAAACGAAAACTTAAAAAAAAAGAAGAAAGAGCAGATAGAAAGCCAACTAAGAGAACTAGAGAACTATAAGACACAAGCAGAAACGCGAAAGTTCTACAAGAGTATTAACCAGAACAGGAAATAATTCAAACCTAGACTATAAACTGTTAGAAATAGAACAGGGGAGATCATTGTTGATCAGGACCAGATATTAGAAAGATGGACAGAAAACATCGAGGAAAGGCTAAATATAAGAGGTGAGACAGGGTCTCACGAATCAGAAATCCAACTCGAGGACATTGTCGATGAAAGAGAGAAAGATAACATCCCAACATAAGTAGAGGTTATCCAAGCTAAACAAGAATTGAAAGAAAACAAAGCTCCTCGAGAAGATGGCATTACTTCAAAAATTTTAAAGCATGGCAAAAAAACCTGAAATACTGTATATGTAGACTGGTAGAATTAATCTGGAAACAAATAAAGTTACTAGAAGACTGGAATGTAGTTATAATTGTACCTATCCACAAGAAAGGAGATCAAACAGTATGTGACAACTACAGAGGAATACGAGATCTGGTTATATCGTAGAATCCTTAAAATATCATGGGTTCAACACATTTCAAACAGAGAAGTCTTGAACAGAGTAGGTCAAGGTGAAAGTGACTTAATAAAGATGATAAAAAAGAGAAAACTCGAATATCTGGGGCATATAATGAGAGGAAGCAGATACAGGATAATGCAGTTGATACTTAATGGAAAGATCGACGGAAGAAGAGGAATTGGCAGAAATAAATACTCATGGCTCCGAAACATTCGTCAATGGACTGGCTTATCAGCAGATAATTTATTACATGCCGCGCAAGATCAAGAACGATATCGGAAAATCGTCATGGAAGTTACCCACGCCTAAAACTTGGGCACGGTACTCAAAGAAGAAGACAGAGGAATAACTCTTCTGAACGAAACATACAAAATATTGGCATAATATTTTTACGACCGACTATCGGGATATTGTGAAGGTATAATAGGTAAATATCAGTGTGTGTTTCGTAAAGGAAGATCAACGACCGATCAAATATTCCTTCTAAGGCAAGCTCTGAAAAAAAAACATATAAGTATGGTATTGATACTCATCACTTGTTTGTTGATTTTAGATGTGCCTATGATAGTGTTGATAGTGTTAATAATAATACAGCAGTGATAAGAAACGCACTGTACAAGGCCATGATAGAATTCTGCATCCCAGTCATCGAGCAAAAAGACAAAAGAGGGAATCTAATCGTTATGAAAAGGAGACCAGAAAAGTGGCCTCTGATGGCGGACATATCCGGAAATGCGAATGCGCCAAATTTAAATTTTCCGACACTTATTAACAGTAGCTATAAAATAATTGTCAGAATGTGTCTTAGACAAGAAACTTTAAATAAATATTAACGATAAAAGTCTAAAATGTGACAAAATTGTTAAAAATCTTCAATATAAATAAGACTTCATGTGACAGTTGGGACAAACAATAACATAACCCAACTAAATTTGATTTTTTAAACAAGGAAAGGCTCTCTTTCCTTGTTCAAAGTGGCCTCTCAAGAGGGCACTTCCTGTCTAACAATATTTTTGCCCTCACTACCTTTACATTCCCTCTTTTGTCTTTTTGCTCGATGATCCCAGTACACTTTGTAAAATTGGTGAAAGCAACCATCTCAAGAATCGAGTGTAAAGTTGGAGTGCAGAACGGAGTTTCCAGAATGTTCCAGTCTCAGATAGGACTTGACAAGAAGGAGAATGCGATAAGAGTATCTGGATGGAATAACAACCAGAGGACCTATTATTAATCGCAGCTTACAATTACTAGCGTACTTTGATGACATCGACATTATTGCGAGAAGAAATTCTTGTAATTTCTGCAAACGACGTGTCACTTGCCATAAGGTCCCATTTAAAAGTATCTGTCACAGTGGCGCTGTAACGTCATCTGTCACTATTATGCGCCTCCATCTTTAAATTTCGCAGTAAGGCTGAGTACTAAGTCCTACTATATTTTTCTTGGTACCAAATAAAAAAAATGACCAGTTTTAAGGTAGTATTCCTTGTGTAGTGGTAGTGTTTAATGTATGTTGATCATGTGGTGTAAGTATACTACGATTAAAGGAAATTATGGCAAATACTGAAACGGGGGAGTCCAAACGATAATCAATCTATATGAAGAACCCCTGAGCTTTACATTCCTGGAAAAAATAGGGAGAAACCAAACCGAATCCCGTTTTCCGAAATTTATACCACTTTCATAAAGCGAATCTTCCTGCACTTTTAAGTGTATCAAAAAGTTGTGTCACATTAGGTAATCTTGAACTTGTAAAGCTTTAATGTACTATGTTTGAACAAGTGTAAGTTTTAAACGAAAGCATCACCTTTAAGTGCACACTATTTGTTTATACAAATCAAGGCCAAAGAGAGTTCCATTCATGTTTTAATACCAGCAACAAAGAAGAAAATAGCGTGTATTTGTGTATTGGTACCCATCTGCCGCGCATTGTTAGGGTACCAAAAGTAGGTAACAACGTGGGAACCTTGTAGCTAATGAGAAGGTACTACATCGGTTAGGATGAGCGAGATAAGAACATAGACGTACTTCTGGGTTTTAAATATTATTATCACTGGATAGTTTTTTTATGTTACCTCGTTATATGTTTCAAATACACTTCTAGAGAATAAACTACAAATAGTTAACTAAGTGCTTTATAGACGTTTAGGAGCTTTAATCATTAAAAAATGGATATTTAGTTATTTATTTATTAAACTGTTATACATTTTTTTTGCCGTTATACTTCTAACTACTGCTCTTTAAAAAGGAATGCATATGAAAAAGGTCGTCTGTGGTGACGACTATTCGCAATTCGAAGGGTCGACAACTCTTCGAATCTTTTGACCAGGCCCGTTCCTAGCGTAGTGAGCGCCAGCGTGCAGGATTTTTTGTGCGCCCCCTTATTATGTTTGTAAGATACCTATATCATAACATGTTCTTGTGATATGATTGAAAATATGATATGAATGTAAAAAGAAAAATAAAACGAACCATGTTTGAAAAAAGGTTTTATTTTCAAAATTAAATAAAGAAAAAAGGTCATTTTAAAACAATATTATTATGTAAGTTAACAGTAAGAAAGAGAACACTCAATTCGCAAATTAGTAAGGCATTCTGGAATATAACATGAAACAATAACGGGAAGGAGATACTCTCAATGCAAAAAAACTTTATTAAATAATACATATATGCCACGTCGTGCTTTCACAGATGCAAGCTTCTGTCTTCTTTCAATGGCTTCACAAATTTTATTTTCAATTGAAATGACTGCCAAATCTGATAGCCTTTCTTGGCACATTGACATTCTTAAATAATTTTTTATGAGCTTTAGCTTTGAAAAACTCCTTTCGCCAGATGCCACCGAAATTGGAAGGGTCAGGAATATTCTCAAGGCTATAAATAGATTTGGAAACAAGGATTGTAAATTTTTCTTTGTTATATAATTTAAAATATCTATGGGCGAATCCGAAATTTTGCCAGAGTCTGTGATTGGGTTAAGAACTTTGTATGACAGAATTTCATAATGCAAATCGAGACCATCAATATCTTTGCATACGTTTCCTTCATGTTGAATTTGTAAAGCTAAATCCAAATCCATACATGATCTTTTAATCACATCAGAATCTAGATTTTGAAAATTACCCAAAAATCCAAATAAATCGTGGCACTTATCTATTTCTCCAAAGCGTCTTTGTAGGGATTGAATTGTTGTGTCCAAAATTTGAAAATAAAAACTGATCTTAAATTTTTGTTTTGGATCGAATACTGTTTTATCTGTACCTTCATACGAAAATTAAAGCTTCGTCTTTCTTAGTCTTAATAATGGAAATGTTTGCTCTGCATCACTTTTTTCTGCTTCTGCTACAGCCTCATTCATGAAAATCTCGAAATGTTTGTCTGACCTCTTTTCAGTGAAATAAATAATAAGATTTTTTATTTTTGTATGGCATTCATTTAAAGTTGTATTTGGATTCTGGACCATTTTACTTACAATATTAATTTTTGTTAATTCATCATGCTAAATTATAATAGAAAAAATGAATTTGAACGTTTTAGTTTTGTCTAATAGTGACCTTGCTAAATGTTTCGTGTTCATATCTCTCTCTAATTATCTTCTACCAAATCGTGTAAACTTTTACAAATTTCGAGGAATTGAAACCTAAGAGGGCGAATGGCTTTGACTCTGCTTTCCCATCGTGTTTCACTTACTGATTTTAAAGTTAAGTTTGGTACATTTCTTTTTAAAATGTGCCATCTGTAGGGTGAAGTAAAAATAAATTGAACAACCTGAATAATTAAAAAAAAACCTACAGTCTCATATGATATTTTAGCTGCATCATTGACATTTAAATTAAAAGTGTGAGCTGAACAAGGCAAAAACATTGCTCTGGGATTAATTTTTAGAATTTGAACCTGAAGGCCCACATGCTTGCCAAACATATTTGTTTCATTGTCGTAACCCTGACCTAGACCAGAACAATAAACGAAGCGAATTATGACCGTCAGCTGCTCAACATGGCTAGTATCTGGAGATTCATCCAAAATAATTGAGTAATATCTTGCTGCTCTGAGGCAACTCAGAATTTCTTTCTAAATATTTCTTTGATGATAAATGAATTAATTCATTTTGGAAGTAATTGCTCAGGTAATGAGGCATATTTTGGCACAACCCTTTAGACCTTCGAATATTGCTCAGGTGTTCCATCATAATTGGATCAAATTTAGTAATCATTTCAACTAATTTCAAAAAATTGCCATTATTAGTCTCATAAAGATTCGTACTGTCACCCCTAGAAGCTAAATTTTGGTCAGCTAAATACTGCACAATACAAATCATTCTTTTAATGATTTCAAGCCATCGCTGTTTTTCAATTTCATAATATTTTTGTTGCTTTTTATCAATAGTACATTCTTTACTCAAACGCAATTTTAACTCGTGCCATTTTTGAGCGCTTTTCATACGTTCCATGCTATTTTCATGACGAGAAATATTAACAGAAAGGTGCCTCCAGTTAGAGTTACTTATTTATTTTTATTTTATTTAAATAAATAAGTTAACTTATTTTACTTACTTCTAGCAGTTTATTTGCCGCCTTAAACTTACAATTTACAATAAACTTTAATGACAATGATATTGCGAACAGAACATCCTAACCCATAAAAAAAATCTAACGACTGAATTAGAACGTTACGGTTTACTGCGCAAACGACAATTTCGTCAGAGGCCGGCGCATCGCGCATCCTTTCTTAAGACAATCACTCTGGCGGCATGCCGGCAAACACAAAACATTAAAAGTGAGCATCGTGCGGCATAAGACGGCGCGTCGTATGCTGACACTAATAAAATTGTAGGGTGGTAATTTAATTAGTAATTTTGGTATTATAATAGGGAATAGTAAACGGATGAAGTGATTGCTTTAGCACTTACCGGGGAAATACTGAACACTGACTTTTTCGTTTTAGAAGTGAGAATATTTTTTTAATGGTAACCAAATATTTGGCGCCCCTAAAATTTAGCGCCTGCGTGCGGGGCATTCATTGCATACCCGCCAGGAACGGCCCTGCTTTTGACTATCAGTTTTGTTGTTCTTTTTTACAATTTAAGTGTCTTTTTAATTTTTCATTTTATTTATTAATGAAATATTTATTTTATAATTAAATTAACGGCGAAAGGAACACAATTCATCAAGCTTTTTGTGTATTAACTGGTATCAATAGGCTGTTACAACGTTATGTCTGTATTCCCTTCCAGATTCCTGGAAGCCTTAGTTTTTAGAGTAACGTAGATCTCAAAATATCTAAGTGTTGAGTAAGTCACTGTTTCCTACTCATCCAGTTACTCTACAAACCATCGAACGAGATAGTCATCTAGTCAACGATTGTCGTTCTGTCTTTTTGAGATGTACAAAATGTGTAAAATATTTACAAATTTCAGCAAGAGCTTGCTACGGCTTTGATGAATTGAGACGCCGAATATTTAAAAATAAACTGTGAAAGGTACACAGTTCGTCAAACTTTTCTTGTATGAATTGGTATCAATATACTGTTAAAAGGCGCTCCAGGAAGACACATGTTTAGGGAGGAACTTTAACTCAAAACAAGAGAGCCTAAAGTAAATAGCTTCTAAGATTTGGCAGATGTTTTGACAAAAATAGCTGAAGATAAACTGGGTAAAAAAGGTAAACATAGAGATCAATAGATGTCAGTTGAAACATGGAATCTTATTGAGGAAAAGAAACAGCAAAATAAAGCGAGACCCCTTAAAAAAAGATATCAAATCTCTGAAAAATAACAAGTCTCCAGGAATCGATAACATTACTGCCGAAATACTTAAAACTGATCCGTATTTTACCGTCTCTATCCGTAGTAGTTTAATTTACTGTTTGATTTTTATTAACGATTTCCGAAGTGGAAATTGAAACGTTAATAAACGTATTTTAACCTTTAATTGTGGCTTATTCCCAGTTTAATAGTAATTAATTAACAATGCCACAAGAAAATAGCTTTAGAACAATACCAATAAAGTTGGTTTAAAAATCAATATTAGTAAAACCAAATGCATGAGAGTAAATGCAAGAAACAACACGCTATTTATTATCAACAACATGCAGATTGAAAAAGTGGAAAACTGTACGTGTCTTGGAAGTGTCATAAAAGAAAGTGAAAGTACAGAGCACGATATTCGTATAAGGATACGAAAAGCTCAACAAGCATTCAGCATGCTCAACCCTTTTTGGAGATCTGGCGAGTATACTACAAGGACAAAGATCCGCATATTCCAATCAAATGTCATGTTTGTCATGTCACTACTCTACGGATGTGAAAACTGGAAAGTGATAAAAACTCTTACAGATAAACTGTAGGTGTTTATTAATAAATGTCTACGACTAATTGTTCGTATTTTCTGGCCTAACATCATCAGAAACGAAGATCTATTTCACCTGACCAGACACAAAAGGGTAGAACATCAAATAAAGTCCAGAAAGTGGGGATGGATTGATCACACACTCCAACAAAAAAATAATTCCGGTATTGCAAAGATTGCCCTAGAGTGGAATCTCCAAGGAAGAAGTTAAAAAGAGGTTGCTCAATACAAACTTGAAGATCCATCATGGACGACGTAAGAGGTTAAGGAAAGTCGTAGAAAGTCTGCTAGTGCAGACTACAAGTTTTACAGTGAGCCACGATAAGTAAAATTAATTTACTTATCATCTATGTTTCTGACCACAATTGATTGGGTTTAAACTCTTTCAAACAGCTAATTGTTCTTTTTTACTTCCGTCTATTTTGCGAATTATTCTTTATAAAAGAAGTAAAGAATACAAAAAATTAAGTACACATTTCACTATAACAGATAAAGTCAATTCCACATAAAAAGAAGAAGAAAAAGATTTTAGTGTAACACTGTCAAACCAGGTGATTATCTTGCAAATACAAGTCACATGATCCAATAAGTCAACAAAAAACCCCAAAAACCTGGGCACGTAGGGCCCAACCCCTTGAGCACTAAGTCGCCGAACTGAGCCTAGCTCAGAGAGGAGACTTGAGGTCCAAGTAAGCAATTTTAGTTCGCGGATAAGCCATAGTAAGATAACAGGATTATAGCGACAATGCGCTGTCCTGAGTTTTGAATGTAAAAACTGTCCTTTCGTAAAATTCAAGAAGGTACTGACTTGTTCAGAGTTCGATCTTCAACTGAGACTAAGGTTTACTAAGTGCTACGTATGGTCAGTGCTGCTATATGGCGTAGAGGGTTGGACACTCAAAACGAGGGATATAAACAGATTAGAATCGCCGTATCCTAAAAATACCATGGACAGCGAAAATTACAAATATAGATGTCCTTAAAAGAATAAACCAAGAACGCCAACTTTTCGAAACCATCAAGAAAAGGAAAACGGCGTATCTAGGTCACATCATGCGAAATGAAAAATACCAGTTCCTCCAACTTATAATCGAGGGTAAAATTGAAGGCAAGAGAGGAATGGGACGCAAGAAAATGTCCTGGCTCCGAAACATAAGGCAACGGACAGGGATTAACGACATACAATCTCTGATACATATTGCAAGAAATAGAGAATTAATGGAAAATGTGATCGATAACATCCATTAGTGGATTTGCATCTGAAGAAGAAGAATAGTTTTGAATTCGGTTAGGAAACAATGTTGGGGTTCTATTACCCAGGACTCCCACATGAATAACATTTGGCTGATAGTTGTGCCCCTATCGCGCATCAGAGTGCTATAGGGGGGACAGGGATGGTCTGGAGCATTGAAGCGCGATGGAGTGACTCCTGTTTTTACTCGAGTTAATACACCTCGCTCCAATGAATTGTTACACCCTCTGGGTCAGTCCTTCACGGACTCTCCTAAAGCATAGTGCTCTAGGGGCTCTGCTTCCTGCTTTAGACTCTGTGGCTGAGCTTTTATTTCACTGCAACTTGAAGTTTTATTTTGACCTTAGTAGTTGTTTTTTTTTGTAAGAAATATCTTGTCTTTATCAAGACAAAATGAAATCTACAGAGCGTTCGGCGAAATTTAAGATGTTTTTAACCCTTATTTTCCAACCAGTGACGACAGGTGCAGGTAATGGTAAAG